AAAAATTGCTCAACATTAATAATACCGGCCAAAAAAAAAAGTTAAGACTAAGGATCAATATACTTTGCAAAAGAATCAAATTGCAAGATTAATTGAAAAATTTATCTTGTAATTTGATTAAAATATCAAATTTGAGTATTTAACCAAAATTATTCTAAGATACACATACTAGAAATCACGTCCCGGAGCAGATAATATTTATTTTTATTATCTGATACAGTATTTTCTACAATTATTCTGGTCCCTATTTATTGAATAACTTGGCTAATATTTAATGTCTAATTTATATATTGAATATGGCCAATACCGTCTAAAACGAAAACTTCTACAATTGTGACTAGTTAGTAGAGCAATTATAAATACAAAATCACCTCTATTATAAGAAAGTATACCAATAATATCATTGAAAATTTGAGATATAGCTTATATAAACAAAACCGGTAAGATAAATGCTAATTATATTTCCAGAATGAAAATCTTATATATAAATTCGATGCTGTAAATTGTATAAAGTCCTTTGCCTATGAAGATAAATATTTTTAGACCGAGTTAATTCAATAATTCAATAAATTTACTATCTAATATTTTAATAACTTTCTTGCATAACTACCGGCATTATATAATCATTATCTTTGGATCCTTAGTTATTCCATAAATTGCAATTGTTAACTGCCACTATGCTTTGTTGATTCAACCTAAAATTTTAAGATAAGTTGTTAAATTCTAATGTCAAAAATATCATCCGATTTTATGTTAGTATAATTCTAACCTTCTTTTGTTCTAATTCAGGATAAACATTAAACAATTTGGAATTTGTTTTCAAAAATAATATGTCATGGACCATACTTGGGTCTAATCGATTTCGTTTCTTTGTGAAAATATTCCCTGCTTCGGAAAACAGGCGCTCTGAGGGCACCGAAGTAGCTGGGAATGAAAAAAATTTTCGTGCTACTTTTGCTAGATTTGGAAACTCATGTTGGTTAGTATGCCACCATGTGAGGGGATTGTGAGTATTATAAAGTGGCTCATTAATAAAATATTTGTTCATTTGTGTTATTTTTTCATAACGTTCTAATTCATTATTCATAAAATGCTCTACTTGACTTTCTCCATCATAAAAACGGTCTATTTCAGTTTGTGTTCGGGTATTAATAGTATTAGCTGCCATTTCAATTATTTCTGACAACTTATCTTGAACCATTTTTTTTTTTCGTTGCTGATAAAGTTCATATTTTTGAATCGGGGTCTAGATAAGATGCAATGTAAGCTTCCATTAAGGGAGTTTCCCAGTGAGCAGACATTGAATCTTCAATTTTATAACAAACATCTAAGATATTAGATGAAATAAGAGATGTCTTCATTTGGTCTAGGTGGGTAAATAAACGTGAAATAGTAGGAAGCATCATGCCGAGTGTTGGGTATTGGGCTCCTCCAATTAATTTTGTTGCTTGGGCAAAGGGTGATAATAGTAATATTAATTCATCTAGTGCTTCTCATTCAGCTTCTGAGAGCAACTTTTCGCTTAAACTTTGGCCATCTTTTTTTTGTTGTAACTCAGGCTGCCGACATAAAGATTTTGTAAGCTGTTCTGTAGCATCTCGCAGTTAGGTTAATCTTTTTAAAACAAAATAGGTGGAGTTCCACCTAGTCTTTACGTCACGAATTGGTTCTACTATATTTGATTGTTTTTCTGTTTGCCTAGTATTAATGTTGGGATAAAAATTTGTTGTTGTTTTTATACTAAAATTTTGTTGAACTAATTCGAATGAGTCCAGTTCTGAATCTTCATCTCCTAATAGTGGCCATTCGTCATCAAAAATATTTGTAGATAACTGGATAAATTCATTTTGTATATTGCGAAGATTTTGTCTATACCTATCTCTTTTTACTAACCAATTATTTAGTCCTTTAGCTTAATTAAAAGATCCTCACATGCATTAAGTCCATCTTTAATGGCTAGTTGAATCGTATGAGCAGTACAGCATATATGAGGTGCTGCAAGAAGCCGCATTCCTTTAACAATTGATTTGTCATTGTTGGTTGTCCCCCCAATTAATTTATCGTGTATATTCCAATGATCAAAAAGTTTTGACAGAAATTGCTCTTGACGTTCTCCAGTGTGTGGATAGGGAAATTCTTCTATGGTTAAAACTGCTTGATTCAAATCAAAGTTTTTTGAAAGCCAATGAATAGTTACACCAACATAAGAACGGTGCATGCCGGTCCACATGTCGGTTGTAAAAGAAAATGTCTCCATTGTATTAGATATTAAGTCACGTAATTTATCCTCAGCAAAAAGTACTGATTTTTGAATTGTTGTTTTAACTAATGCAGGTCCGGGAACCTTAAAGTGGAGATCCATTTCATAGCAAAATTCACGAAACTTTTGTCCCTCCACAACTACTAAAGGTTGGCAATCTTCAACAATCCATGCAACCAAACGGAATTGCAAACGTTGTTGTTTTTCTGGTTTGTAAGAGTCCATTTTTGAAAATATTAAAGGTATGGTTTGAATTGAATTATCTATCTCAATTACAGTTTGTTACTTTGAATTTTTTTTATATTGATTAGAAGGGAAAATCTGATGTTTTGTATTAAGGTGTTCGTTAAGATGTGTAGTTGAAGTTGAAAGACTATACATTTTATTACATTTTTTCTCATGCCCTTCTAAGCTAACTGTAACTATGTTACATGTTACCTGTTTTTTTGATATATCTTTACGCATATGATCTCAAACCCAACTATCTCTTGATTTTGAATTATTAGATTCGATTACATTAGTTGACAGCACTTCAATATTAGGAGCTTTTAAAG